TCTGGATATCTTAGATTCTAAAGATTTATTTATTTATTTATTTGAGAGAGAGAGAGAGAGAGAGACAGTGAGCACGAGAGGGGGGAGGGTCAGAGGGAGAAGCAGACTCCCCACTCAGCAGGGAGCCTGATGTGGGACTCGATCCCGGGACTCGTGATCCGGAGCAGTTGCTTAACCAACTGAGCCACCCAAGCACCCTAGATGTCTGAGATTTCATTAGTTCTTTTAAAGGGCCAGTGTTTGCTTCAGTGACCCACTCAGTCCTTTGTTTCATTACGATTTCATTCATGTGTTTTTGCTCTATATTATTTGCTTACTTCTATTTATGTATTGGTTTAGTATTTTTCTGACTTCTTAAGTTGAATGCTTAGTTCATATGTTTTTCTTCCTGGTTTTTGTATGTGCATATATGTACACATAGTTCTATGTTTGGAAGATGTGTGTGTGTGTGTGTGTGTGTGTATTTCAGTTTTGCGCTATATGCAGATGTGAGGCAGTCTTTCTGTTATTGGGTTTCTAATATCACCACTCAGTAGTCAGAGAATGAGGCATCGGTGATATGTATTTTTGGATCTTTGTGATGTGACTTATGTGTCTACATGGGCAGGCCAAGTCCAGAAATAAAACCATCATGAATCCTTGTAGTGTTAGTCAACCCTTGCAATTCAAAATTCAATTAACCCCTACAATTAAGAATTCGTACAATTTTAGTCTCTCCTTGCTTTGGAAAGGCAACACCACACAATGGCTAATAACTCAGATTCCAGAGCAAGTCTAGAGCTTTCACCTGCTAACTGCGTGACTTTGGACAGGTCATTTAAGCTCTACGTTATCTGTAAAACAGGGATGCTGATAGTAATTACAGGACTGTTATGAGGCTTAAATTAGTTACACAAAAATCCCTTTCAATAATCGAAATCTTTACAATAATCCTGACATACAATTAATCTATATAAATTTTAACTATTATGTTTATATTTGACATCTAGAGCATCCTTTTATTATTTTTTAAATTTTGTTCAGCTATGTACTAAAATGTGTATCCATCATTCTCTGTGGACATAGCAGAAGTGGTATACCTCCTTACCTAGTAGTTCCAATGGCCATGCAGCCAGAATTCCTCTACCAACATTCCATCCTTCCAGAAGAGTGAACATTACTCCTTCTACTGCTGACACTCCCTTGCACTTTGCTGTGATTTATCTAATTATATTTGCATGTCTGTAAAAATATACTGAGTTTACACCATCTTGGACCAAACCCCAACTTATTTTAGACAACAGCCAAGGGCTTGCTAATGGATAAAATTTTCCTGAAATGTGGAAAGTACGAAAGTCTGGGGGAAAAGTACTTAACAAGAAAAACGTATAGCAGGAAGAAAGATACATGGGATTAATTTGCTGAAATCAGTTTACTGAAGGAAAAAAAATGAGCTCCACCTATAATGTTGGTTAAGTAATAAATTAGAAAACTTCTTCTAGATCATTCTATAGATCCAGGGTTTGATAAGGATACAATTGAGGAGCTGACCAATATATAGTTCTTGCCTCCGGATAGGTACTGCCTGCCTCCCATCACCCTATTGCTGAGGGCAAGTCATAGCCAGTTATGTTCCCCCAGCAAAGTGCACACGCTCTGTGAGTCATAAAGCTGGAAAATCCAGCTCAGGTCTTCCACTTCATTTCCATTCAGCCACCATTTTAACTGAAATCCTATTCTCCGCTAGAGGACGTAAAAGACACAGTTCATTTGTTTCATTTTTATTGAAATACGAAAGGTCACACGAATGTGCTGTGCTAGGAAAGGTGCTTTTCGAAGTTGGTCAAGAAGGGCTGGACTGCCTGCGACTGCCTGAAGGAGAGAAAAAGAGCAGAATGTCAAGATAGCAATCCCGGGAAGACCTCAGTCTGTCCCTTCTCATGGTTCTGTTTCCATCCTCTTCCAGGTACCTTTTGCCACTTCCTTTGGCTCATATTTGTGACCCTTGTAGTCTTCTTGCCCAAAAGTATTCCAGGTGATGTTTGCAAAATCTCAGTTACTAGATTATGTCATTTCTCTGTGCAAAAGCACTTGAAGGGTTCTCTCTGTCTCACTCAGGATAAAACATTTAAAACCTTTATCACATGACCACCAAGGTCCATGTGACCAGGCTTCCCACCACTTTTCTGAATTTGTCTCTGCCATTTTCCCTAATCTCATTCTCCTCCAGGCTATTGCCTCTTGGCACTTCTGTAGACACGTGAAGCACATTTCTACCTCGGGGTGTTTATATATGCTGTTCCCTGAAGCTGTGATACTTTTCCCCCCACAGGGACCACAGGGTTCACCACCACCACCCCAGTCTGTCCATTCCTTGTTCTGACTTTACCATTTTATCACTGAAGGAAACTTTGCCTGAATAATCTATCTGTAGCAAGACAGCATCCACCCTCTGTGTCTCTTTAGCCTCCTTTATTTCCCTTAGCTCTTCTCCCTCTCTGACACAGGATCTATTTCCTTGTGTAGGTAGAGTCTGTCTCCCCTCACTCGAGCATGGCTTTCTCAGAGCAAGGATTCCACTTATTTTCTTGCCTGGTATATTGCAAGCATCTGGATCAGAACCTGGAACATAGTACGTGCTTGATAAATACTAGTCCTGTAAATAATTCAGTCCCCAAATGTGGTTCTATTGGACTAATTAGGCCTCAAAAGCTGTTATACTGAAATATCTGGGCAACAGTGCAGTGACTGTGTCAGAAACCAGGGGTAGGAGATGGCATGAGCATATATTGAAACTACTGAGATAAACCTCACAATAAATAGAATTTAAATTATGTTTCTGAGAGGGGGACTCATAATTGCCTATAATATAGAGCGATATAAAGCTGCTGTGAGTAAAATAATTTTAGGTCTAACCTTGATGTACCCATCCTAAAGCATTTTGGCCAAAAATAATAGTAACAGTAATACTACTACGACATGTGAAGGTGAGTGCTCAAAGGGGCTTGTGAGCAGCATGTGCAGGTGTGAGAGCACACTCTGAGCGTGAGATCCGCTCTGTGAGAGTGGTGCAGAACCAGAGTCCTCCTCTACACAGGGCAGCTTTTATACTCTCTGGTGATGGTAGCTTGGAGTAGCAATGCAATGCATAGGCACTCAGAGGACCAAAGTCCTGCTTTGTTCTTGCTCCTCTGTTTCCTGTGTGCTCAGGACCTGAGGCAATGTGTGGTAACTCGGCATGTGGGAGGGGTGGGCAAAGGAGGGAATGAGAGAGATGAAGGAAAGTCATAATGGAAACATGAAGAAATTTCTATTTTAATAATTACTACCCTGTGTCCTGCATAGTTCATTGCTTCCTAACTTGGTTTTGCTCAACTCACAGATGGGTTGATTGTGGAGGTGGAGGTAAGATCCAGACGCACATAAGTAGAGTAAAAAAACAGTAACTAACCACCAAACTACATCAACAAGAAACACTAGTGTGACCATCTATGCTGTCAGCTGCCATTTGGTCATTGGACCTCACCACCAATATTACTCTCCCATTTACTTCACTTGCCAACAACTCTTGACCCTTACCATTTTCAGTTGCCAGGGAAGAGATAGAAAGGTCTTGTCATGGACATTCGTTCAATGGTGGGCATCTGGGCTTTAACATTTGGTTTTTCAAATGATTTTTGTACCTAAAAACAAAAAGAGGGGTAAGATGAGACATGCTTCTTGTGAATTCTCAGAAAAGATTTTCCACCATGAGCCAGAAAATTCTAGGAATGCAGGGTGCTCCTAGGATTGATGGGGCCAGCCCCATGGACACTCAAACTCTCTGCCACTGCTGCCCCACCTGTTAAAAGTGACACCCATGTCAGAATACACTCTTTATCTCAAACACTTTGTGCCTAATCCAAGCCCTTTCAAACTCCATTTCCTGTTTTCTGTTTCTGATCTAATAATCAATTTTCCCTTGGGGTCTGTTCATGGGAACTGGATCTTGAGAATTCTCGACTTTCTACGTCCACCAGGGTTAACTCCTCAATTCAATGAGACTCAAATCCCAGGATTTTGTTCTTAAGTCCAGAACACTGAGCAACTTTCACATCCCTGCTACCAAGCTGACCTGAAGTCTTTTGCCACAGGCTGATCAGTGAGATCCTACTTAACCTAGACCAATTATTTCTAGTCTTTTCCTGGAAATGCCCTTCCAAGTGCAATGTCTAAATCCTACTCATCCAAAGGACTTAACGTGCTAAGCTCCTATTCAGAGACCCAGCTCATGTCATGCTGCTATCTTCTCCAATTTACTATTGGTATAGCCTTCTTCTGGAAGAGTACAACTGTTCTCTGTGTTTTTGAATGAAAATACAACCACGCTTTTCCATGTTCCTAATACCGATCCCTTGCTCCCTAAAAAAGGAGGGAGCGTATATGTATTTATTCATACATTTATTCATTCAACGAATATTAATTCCTATGTGCCTGAATGTTGAGGCGTTTAGCAAATCCCTGCCTTCGTAAATTCATATTTGAGTGAGTTAATACAACGTAAACGAGGTAAAAAACGAACCTATAGAAAAAAAACCTATAAACTGAGTGCGTGGAGGGAGGAAGGAGGGGCGACTAAGGAGTGTCCAGAGCTGGGGAAGCAGCATCAGGTCTCCCCTTCTTGACCACTTCATTCACAGACAGTCTTCTCCTGGCTTCTCTTTCACATGTCCTCAGTCTTTTTCTTTACAGATCCCATCACAATCTGTAACCACACATTTGTTTGTTGACCTACTTGTTCAGTGGCCATGTGTCTCACATGCATGTGTCTCGTTTGCCCCTTTGTCGCCAGGATAGGGCCCACAAGTATGCCACCCAGTCCATATTTATTTAATAAAGTAAACAATGAAAGTTAATGCAAATACCTCCCGCTCTTTGAAATTTAAGAACTTACACCCCATGACACACAAGCTTATATTTTAGATTATTTTTTATATTTCGATCTCCTGCTACAGTGCATTTTTTTTTATTTCCTAAATCAGGTTTTAAACACTTAGATGACGGGAACCAGACCCCATTCCACTTGTGTTTGCCTGACCAGTTCTGCCACTGTCACCTAGCAAAGCCTTCCTGCCCAAACCAATGACGAGAAGAGGAAGGACGAGCTCACCTTCTGAAATACTTCTATGAGGTGGTAGCACCAAGAATATTTTTGGAAGCATGTGATGAGTTGTACAATGAAGAGAGATCCCTTTGTGGCGTGTCTCCAGGATACGTTATCTATGAAGACAGGAAGTGGTAAGCCTTGGGCTGTGGCCTTCACTCTCATTTTGCTTACAGTCTTTTCTAAAGCATAGCTTGGTAGTTACCTTGATGTGTTTAGGAGAAGCAGCTATAACCCAACATTAACTCATTTTGCACAGATAAGAAGAAGCAAACAAATGAAAAACTAGCAGAGGCTGAACTAACAGGGTAGCTCATCAGAACTGCAGGAGAGGGCACGGTGGTTGCATTATATTCTTAGGACCGACTGACTTTTAATTATGTGCCCTATGTTCATGCACTTGGCTTTCAAAAGAGGCTTGAGAGATAACTGGAATTACCCCATTTTACAGAGGAAAGAATAGAAGGATTCAAGAATGTTGCCACATTTTCACAGGTGGCCACTTATAGATTATATACTGTGCTGTCTTTCACAATATAATAAACAAAATAGGTGAACAGACCCAAAGGAAACTTTTGGAGGGGATGGATATGTTTATGGCATGGATTTTGGTGCTGGTTTCACAGATAATACTTATCTCCAAACTCATTAAGTCCTAGCGAACGTCAATCATATTTCTATAAAGTGGTTTAAAAAGACTGAAAAGAAAAATTTGCAAATTAGAAACACCCAATGTAAGGCTTCTTCAGATGATTACGTAGAGGTCAAGAACTAAACACTGCTCTACTGTTAGTAGATTATGTAGAGGTCAAGAACTAAACTAAATAAGCCCCCAGGTATCATTTCCTACTTCTTTTAGAGGGGCATCCCCATTGTCCCGGGGCGTGTGATAGCGCCATCCAGACAGCGCCAGACGGGGAGCACGGAGCAGAAGGCTTGCACTTGATCACCTGAGAAAGGGCAGCCAGTCCCAGGACCCAGGAAAACTCTTCTCAAAATGTTGAATGGATTTAGTAGAAAAACGAATCAGTCATTTGCTTTAAAATGGTATATGATAAAGGGAGTTCCTTGCATTAGTTTGTTTTAATGTTTGGTGTACCTTTGACTGTAAAGCACAACACTTCTAATAAAAGCACAGTCTTAGAAAGCAAGGGGAAAAACAGAGGCTTCATCCCCATAGAACAGACGAGACAAGATTTAAAATATATCGACAAGACTTAAAATTTACTTTGGCTCATTGCTGCACGGAGCCTATGTTGATTTTCTAGAATCATTCAGAGGTGGCCTCAGGCCCACAAATCCCTGTGTGCACTGGAAAGACACATACGTGGGGTCGAGGAGCAGAAAGCAACGAAGTCCTTCTCGACGTGGACCTTGTGGATGGCATCACTCTCCAGGAGCAGAGGTCGATGTGAGAAGCTGTTGGTTGAGGCCGCTGGTGAGTCACTGACCCACACTTCCCCAGAACTTTCTGTGGAGATATCAACTTTACACACTGTGTGCCTCTCAGGATGCCTAGAGCAATTGCCCACCTCTTTGTTTTTAAGTAGTTATTCCAACCAGTTAGACACATGCACGCGCACACACACCATGCACACATAGTGCTCTGCCTTTCTCTAGGGTCCTTCAGCAATGTGCCAATTAATGCTGACAGCATCACAAAACTAGAAGAAACCATTTACTAAGAGAATAGAAGTTAAAGCCTTAGTTGCCTAATTTCAGAGAGCATAGTTACATTTTTTAGGTAAATTATGTTTGTTTCCTTTTCCCCCCAAACATTGCTCCACAAAGCTAAAGGACAGTTGGAAGTCAGGAAAAAAGAAGTTTCTTTTGACTGCCATCCCAAGTTCCCTCACCTTCCTACTCACTTCCCTTTCAATATGCCTGATTTAAAAAAAAAGGATGCTGCTATTACATAATATGCTCACTTTCAAAGGAAATTTTTCTCAAGCCAGAGATTGTCAAAATGACTGTAAAACATTAACAAGGAAAGCCCTCATTAAAATCATTTTGTCCCAGGATTTGGATATTTATGTTTAGCTTCAATTTAGTAATTCTGGTGGTCTTCTTCACCACTTCCCCTGGATTAAGTTGAACAGAAATTTGTCAGCTGATGGGACAAATGCTCATGATACCAGCCCCCTCAGGGGAGTTTCCTATTAATTCAGTCTAGTTTATTTGCCCTGAAAGGGGTCGAAGATCGTCTCCTCTAGAAACAAAGCACACATCACAGTTCTCCCCCGACACCTTCATGACCATTGGGGTTTCCATCTCAGAACTCACCACCTCTGCAGGCCTGGATGATGATGACCTTGGGTTTGTCCCTGAGGTTGAGGCAGTTACGGTTGTTGAAGATCTGGAAGATGGTGTCATAAGGTAGCACATCCGGGTTTTCCTGGCTGAAGGTAGTCCCGCAGATTCCACTCAGGATTCCGTGAGACATGAGCACCAGGAACGTGCTGTCTGAGCACTTGTGCTCTGGGCGGGCGGAGAATGCCCTCAGTGCTGACTCCATATCCTGAAAAAGACCTCCAGAGCTCACTTTGATAGGAGAAGCATTTCAGTTGGTCTCACCTCCTGCTTATCCTGAGCAGCAGTGTAAGAAACATCCAGAATGTTCCACTTGCTATGCCTTCACGCACTGCTTGCTCAAGGACGGCTGTCTGATGTTTCTTTCTATAATGGAGCAGTGGGTAGAACTTTCCACTCCTGATGACATTGTATACACTCCTCTTGATATATTTGACAGTCACTTTTTGTCACTGAGGTACTTTTTCCTTTCTGTCTCTCTTTCCTCTCATTACTTGATAAGAGCCTTGGGTCATAAATGCATCCTACCAGATCCCATAAAACACTTCCCACTGTGCTTAGAATAAAATCAAACCTCTGATGTACAAATACTCCTCTCTCATGCTGCCTCATCTCCCCCGGTCTCCAGCCACCCCGGTCTTGCTGTACAGCTACTGTGTGGCTTCCGTTCAGTTCCGAATGCAGTTCATCCACAGCTGTCCAGAGCTGTGCGGTTCCCCATACTCATGTGTCCACTCCTGTAGTAACTCCCCAAAGATCCCATCTCACATCATGTTTGCTGGGATCCCCACTCACCAGTTTGCTCTCCTGCTTCCTTTTCACTTCCTTTTAACTTTCTTTTCACTCTTACAGAGACGCACCAAAGCTGTGAAATTTTCTGTTTTGCTTATGGTATGATTATCCTGCACCAAGCGAGCCTAGAGCACTGCAGCTGGGAGTTTCCTGTCTCATTCACAGACCTGTGCCCAATGCCAGGAAGTGCCCCTGGGACACAGTTGGGACTCGATACATACATGGTGAGTACACGTCTATGAAATATACATCACTCTAGGATTTTCTAGGCACTGTTGGGGCTGAGTTCTAATCACCCCACTTTGGAACTAAGGATTGTCTGGATACACATGCCAATCACTTTGTCCAGTTATGGAACTGAGGATATTTAAAGCTCAAAAAAGACATGGATTTTCCCTGTTTCTTACTTTCATGTTTTAAACACACACACACACAAATATGGCCTAAGGATGTCAAAGTATTTGCCTAATATGCTAAAGCTAACATCTTCATAGTAGGATGCGTATTGAATATATACATGTTTGGGATGGGTGAGGGGCCCCTACCTTAGCAGTGAGGTTCTCTTTCACATCCACACTGTAGCCAAGGCCCTCCAGTAGACTCTTCATCCCTGCGATGTCAAGTTTGGCCCCATTCCTGGGAGAAAGATGATCGAACTCTATATTGCATATGATGAGAGCGAGACGAGTACGATCCTTTCTCTCCTTTATTGGGTAGATCTGCAGGAAATGGATATACAGTGAGCTTGACTTACTTAATCTCCTTTGACACCCTCATCCACCAGTCACTGTTACTGTGCTCAGGGCTCCTTTAGCTGCCCTGTCCCCCGTCCTGTACCAGAAGACATTGCCCTCCTATCTCTCTGTAATGGATTGAGTTGGCAGAAGCAAGAAGTGCAAATTGGGGGCGCCTGGGTGGCTCAGTCGTTAAGCGTCTGCCTTCGGCTCGGGTCATAATCCCAGGGTTCTGGGATCGAGTCCCACATCGGGCTCCTTGCTCGGCGGGAAGCCTGCTTCTCCCTCTCCCACTCCCCCTGCTTGTGTTCCCTCTCTCGCTGCGTCTCTCTCTGTCAAATAAATAAATAATTAAAAAAAAAAAAAAAAAAGAAGTGCAAATTGGAAGTAAGTTGTCTTTTAAGAATCCACAGCAGGACCCAGTATATAGCTGGGATGGTGACTCAAAAATCTTCAGGAGACTAGACTGCTCCCTACCCTCTCCTCCTCTCTCTTCTCCACCTAGTCGTCTTTCTTAGCATTCAGTCCAGTTTTGTAGAAGCCAGGAGACACTTGGCACTGGCTCCAGCTAAAAATGAATACATCAGGGGCCTTTTTTCTTTGGTAACATTATTATTTTGGTACTTTTTTTTTTTTTTAAGGCATCAACATACAATGCTATGCAGACTTTATCTTTTTTTAAAAAATATGCTTTTTGTCTAGGCTTTTCAACTAGAATGCAAACAACTGTTACTCAGCCATGTTCTCTTATAAATATTTTGCTTCTGTAACTACAGCTAAAATTGTCATAAATAACAAATAGATTCGAGAACAAATAAATGAACAAGATGAGAGATCTGTATTCTGTCATGGGGTTGAAAGAGAATTGGAGTCTGTGGGAGGCCACATGATTTCCTCCCTGCTCAGAGTATCTATGGATAAGATTGCCACTGTCCCCACTCCCTAAATCTGCAATCAGCATTTTAGGAAATCGTGTTGTTAGTGAAAACACTTGTTTCTCTCTTATTCTCGATGTCATGGACCGAGCATAGCACCTCTGCAGCCTTCTCATTATACAGTTTCATGAATTCTTCATGAGGACAAAGCTTGAGAGTATCTGTAGATTCTTCTGGCTCAGGTTGCCCAGGCACGTCCTCGGGACCTGCAGGATACATCACGGATCATAAATTAGGATATCTGCCTTTGTGACCCAATTTTCCCTTAGGAATACTGACAGAGAAGGGAAATCATGGGAAAAAGATCTTCCAGCGTGTAGGGGTTATGATTGTGTGTCTAACCTCTAGTGTGAGGATGTTTCTTTTGAGTAGGAAAGAACAGGAAGATTGTTAGTAGAGGAAGCAGATCCACCCGAAAATGCAGGTGTAGGTTTCTGATAATTCTGACGAAAACACCTTGATGATTTGGGGTCGAATTTGGCCTTGCCATATTCAGCAAAAACAGTTTGATTTTTCCAATGGTTTTGCTCTAGGGCCCTCACTCGTCCACTCATGGACCTTCTATTGTCTCTGATCAAGAACATCCTGAGTTAAGATTTATTGGAGTGCTGTCCCTTAGAAATGAAATTGAGCCATATGTGCAATTCAAAATTTTGTAATGTCCTTGGTAAGAAACTAAAAAGAAACAGATGAAATTAATTAATATGAGTAATATATTTTAACATGATATATGCAAAATCTCATCCTCTCAACGTGTGTTCCTGATCACGACTCCAGCCCTGAGTAGCTAGGTGTGGCTGGTAGCTATCCTGTCGTACGGTGTACAATCCTGAGTCCACTCCCACCCCAGGCAGCACGTGCAGACACCTGCGCACACAGGCGACGGAATCTTCAACTGTGCACGGATGCTTGACCTTTGTGGAGGAGACAGACTGTGGTGGCTCCTCACCAAGACGTGAAGTCAGCGACTTAAAGGAGAAACCTATCTAGTAACCGGCCCTGTGTCCGGGGTCGACCAGACAGTCATCTGCTAGGGATCGTAATGTGCTCTGGATGTCCTTGCCCCCAAAGTGCGAACTAACTAGCATGAAGTTTTCAATCCATGTTTTCAAATGTGAGAAAATACCTCCTCCCACCTGGGGAAGTTTGTCTCTGACTCATCCTGACCTGATCTCTAGAGAAATGTAGGACTGTCCGACCCCACTTGGCCTCGCTTAACTGAGATTGTGCAAGAAGCTTGGCAAGTCCTGAGCCCGCCCTTGGAGAAATGAGGAAGAGGAATCCATAAACAGAATTTAGCAGTTTGCCAAGACGTAATGTAACAAGGATTTTGTCCCTGAAAGGAATAAACCTTTGTGTTCAGTGACACAAGCCAACCAAGAAATCCTCTGATTTTCTTTTATTTAAATGACAAAAGCAATGTTATCCTGTACAAAATTTTCAGTTTTTATATTTTATACTTTTTTTTCCTGTTTCACTCATTTGTTTCCATTAGTTTTTAAATAACATTTTTGTGATAAATGTCTTTCTAAACTGAATGCTAAAAACCTGACCTCTGGAGATGCAGCGGATTACAAGTCTTTAAAGAAACCGGGCTTTCTGAACATTTCTTAAACAGAGACAGTTGCTCTCCCTTTGTATTCCAGAAGATTCCACCAATGTGAGGATGTCCAGGCTCCTGGGCTAGTCTCTGGTCAGAGGATAAATTTTCTCAGCAAAATTCTCCTCTGTTTCCAGGTTGTGTCCAGGTTTGGTGAACATCCTAATTAATGAACATCAGCTCCTAATGACCATCTTGTATCTGTGTACAGATACCATGTTTGCAGATAAAATTGAGAATTAGATAGGATTTCTATCTCACATTTAATAGTAAAGTTAGCATGAAAATGAATCTTTCATTACAACATAATAAATACTGTAGTGCAGCCTGCTGCCCAAAGGGGGTTGCATTTGCCTGGCAGCACACAGAAAGAAATGAGAGAATTCGTAGTTTAGATAAAAATTTTAACGTTTGTCTTATCTGTTACTTAATGAAATGCTCAAGAAACCCCTTAAACTGATACAAAAAGGAAGAGACTGGTCCAAGGTAAAACAGAGCCATCTCCCTTGGCAGGTAGGCATCCAAGTAGTTATTCCCAAGATTAACAGTGCTCGTTGCATAGAATGCACATATATGAGTTTGTTATATCAGAATGGTATCTGTGTCCAGAAGGCCTGGCCAAGGTCTTTCCATATGCCAGTAGCCCAGCTCACCCAGCTTCCTGGCCTGCAGGTGCCCTGGGACTCCTCTGGGGCCCCCGCGTGCAGAGAGCACCCAGGGAGCCTCACATGGACTTGTTGAAAAAGCATATTTGCTATAGTGAGGTCTCTACAGTTTCTATTGCACTTTGTTTTTTTGTTTTTTTTTTAATATTTTATTTATTTATTTGACAGAGAGAGACACAGTGAGAGAGGGAACACAAGCAGGGGGAGTGGGAGAGGGAGAAGCGGGCTTCCCACAGAGCAGGGAGCCTGATGCGGGGCTCGATCCCAGGACCCTGGGATCATGACCCGAGCCGAAGGCAGACGCTCAACGACTGAGCCACCCAGGTGCCCCTATTGCACTTTGTTTATTATTGCTTCTTCTTATTATTATTATTGATCAACTCTGAGCTTTCAGGACTGGGATTTGAGCTTAACCTCTGTAGTGAATCAAGTCTGTCACTGGTGAACTTGGGCAAGGGGCCATTTAGGTTCTAGTAATACTTATAATTCAATCTAGGTCAGAATTAAAGTGTTTTAATAGATTGAACACTTTACAAGTGTTCTCCTGAGCATATTTTGTAATGTACAGAAATGAGTAAGCACTAGAAAGGTCTAAATACTAGAAGCGAAGTAATACTTTTGAAAACTAGTATCTACTGCATGCCTGTTCTTTATCTCTTGCATTCATCCTGTGTTTATGACATGCCTGCTGTGTGGCTGGCACTCTGCTGAGAGCTACTATTCCCTCATGAAGAAAACACCTGTGCTCTCGATGAAGAAACTTGGTGGATTATAGTCCTGTCGAATTCAGAACAGATCTGATGAGGGGAATCAAGTGTTTAACTCTACAGATGTTAGTTTTGTGAAGTCAGTGGAGTCTTTGGATGGAAATGTTGAATGTGCAGCGAGAGGTAAGTGTATCTGGAGTTCAGAAGAGAATTCTGGGTGAGAGCTACTGTCTTCGGAGTTGTCAGCCTGTGCCTGCCACGAAGTCCCTAGCCTGTGAAGAAGTTACCAAAATTGTCACTGTTTCCCAGATCCTGAGACTGATGCCCAGGGAGGTTAAGGAGCTGGAATGAAATCATGGAGTATCTACAGTGATGGAACCTGGGTCCACATGCGGATATCCTTTACTACACCATGTCCACACTCAGCTCTTTCTATGAGCAATGGGAGCACAGCGACTCAGCTTCTTAGCTAATTGGAAAGTGGATCCCCTCCCACAAAAGGCAAGATGGCCTCTCAGAGGATGATGACAGATTTAGTAAAAAATTATACATTAGTAATGGAAGGATGGTGGGATTATGGAGG